AAACTTGGACTCAATCAAAAGGCTGCACCCAAGGACCTAGGAGGCCACATGTGGCCTCAAGGCCGCAGGTTCCCCACCCGTGACCTAGAGGTTGGTCAGACGTGGAAGACACCAAGGTCATCCACTGCATCCTGGGTCATTGCCAGTCATCCTGACTTTTGTGCTGCCACTGGACTTCAGCAACTGTGGAAGAGACAGTGAGGCTGATGATGCTGTGCAACTCTGCCTCACTTAAATGCAATTCACACAGAAGTCAAGATTTTACCCTCCTGATATCATTGGTCCTCTTGGAGAGCAAAGGATGAACAACAACAAGGTTTGCATGCTTTAAAAATATTATCTCATTTTATTCTCACAACAACCCTGGGGAGGTAGGTGCTACTATTGTCCTCATTTTACCAATGAAGAAGCAGAGGCAGACAGGTTAAGGGGCCCATCCAACTAGTAAGTGTCTATAGTTGGATGTGTACTCAGGTCTTCCTGACTTCAGGTTCAACACTCTATCCGCTCTGACATCTAGCTGCCCTATAAAAAAAGATCAGTCAGAGAGAATGACAGAAACAAGTTCACTCAGCCCCAGTTGGAATTAGGAATCCCACTGAGATCATCTGGCAATAGGAGTACCTTTTTTTCTCCCCAACCAGTAAAATTTGGTGGGTTTTTATATGGTTCTTATCTGGGTCTAGGCATTGGGAGAAAAGAAAAGAACCTGGATCTAAGCATTGGTGGTGATTTATGTTAGTAGAGGGAGGAAAGATTACAGGCAAATTAGTGGCTAGTTTATATCCAGTCTCCTCAATATCTTTGGGGAAAGGTGGTTTAACTCTGGTCTTATTTTGATACAATGAGAGCTTCCTTGTCAGAAATTCCTGGGCTTCCCCAGGGTTCTTCATTTAGTGGATCAATGAAGCCTACTACATTCCTCATAAATCTCTTAACCTCTATTAGCCTCAGTTTCTTCATCTATAAAAAAGGCATAATCACATCTGAAATAGTTTACAAAAATGTTCTGAGGGTCAATGAGCATTAAGTGGCTAAATGACTTACCCATAGTCAAAGTTAATACGTATGTCAGTGGAGAACTTAACTATGTTTCCCTTTACATAAGGCTGGCCCTCTAACCTCTAACCTAGGAACAGCTACTAGGTTTTAAGATCTCTTCTACATCTATCACTATAGTTATCTTTTCTTTTTCCTCAATGAGGGAAAGGTAGAAGAGAGAGGAAATAGATTTTTCTTAATTGAAAAACATTAATTTTAAGGTTTTAAATAGGCAACAGGTTGGCATCATTCAATACAGATTTTTAAGAGGAAAAGGTTTAATGAGACCAACTATACAACATCTTAAAAAAAGCATATAGCCAAGTGAAGATTTTTTTCCCCAAGATAGAGAACAAAGAGTACATCTTTAAAACCATAATAGGAGAGACAATGTTTTGGGGAATGAAGGGATCTAGGCTTCAGGGATTGGGCTTAGAATTTGCCAACAATCTGGTTTCTGCGGCATGCAACAGGCCTAAAAAGACTGTGTGGTCTGTGGTCCCTCCTTGGTTGAATGGATAGGGCTCTTCTTGGGAGGCTTTTTTTTTTTTTTGGTATATACGTCAAGGAAAGCACAACTTTCTATCTGCAACCAAACTCTGCTCTATCTTTGATTGCTTCCTGCTAGAAGTCCGCTACTTGTGTTTCCTAGTTGTAAATGTTGCTATTCTAGGACTTTACTTTCAATTTTGTTTCAAAATGTTCCTGATGCATCCTGCCTGTGTCCAACTTTGAGCATCAACTCCCCTCACTGACTATGCTGCATTTGTCTTCTGGTATGACCCCATCTCTCTTATTATCAGTAGTCGAGGGAACATATCTTCACCATCTGTTGAAAGGAGAGTCATTGTTTGTCCATTAAGTGACCATTTTTATGCTGTCAGGCTGTCACCTGGGAGGTAGGGGGAAAAACCTCTTAACACCACAACTCAAGGCAATTCGGTTTTACAAACATTTATCATACACCTACTGTGTGCAAAGGGCAAAGTGCTAGGCACTGAAGAAGTTCGAAGTTTGATTAAGATATGGTCTCTGCCCTCATGGAGTTTTCACTGTATTAGGAGAGTTAAAATTACATTCATTGCTAATTATCATGCACAGTTACATATAATTGATTTGTTGTTGTTGTTGTTCAGTTGTGTCTGACTTCACTACTCCATTGAGGCTTTCTGGACAAAGATACTGAAGTGGTTTGCCATTTCTTTCTCCAGCTCATTTTACAGATGAGGAAACTGAGGCAAACTGAAGGTTAAGTGACTTGCACAGGGTCACATAGCTAGTAAATATCTGAGTCTGGATTTGAATTCAGGAAGATGAGTCTTCCTGGCTCCAGGCCTAGCACTCTATCCTCTGTGCCACTTACCTGCCCAATAAGTGATTTAGAGAGGAACAAAACAACATGCTATACAACATCCAAGGGGGAGAAAATTTCAAAGCATAGGACAGAACATTTATCTTCATAGCAATTTTCTTCAGGAATAGTCTTACTTTCAAATCTCCTATAGGTACAGTAGTCTTTGAAGAATTCAAGCAAAAAAAAATAGAAATTAAAATCTTTCCATTCTACAAGGATATGTTATTGGCACCTGCCATCTACTTACATCATTTAAAAAATTCTAGTTATTTGTATATGAGTACATCTCCATCCTGAGTAGACTGTAAGCTCCATGAGAGAAGGAACTTGTGTCTTCTTTAATCACTGTATTTCCCCCAGGCCTACCACCATGCTCTTCAGGTGGTGAGAGTGTAATGAAGGGTTGTTGAAAGCTGCTTAAAAATAAAGATCTTGAAGAAAGTGGAATTTTTTATAACTGTAGGATAGAAAAGGTTGACTTTGACAATACGATAGTCTATATTCTGATGAAAAGTTCAGAATTTCAGGACAAATTCTCAGCTGGATTGGTTTCACCTTTAAAATAAACATTTGAAGGGTTGTATGCTCAGGAAAACAATCAAAATGTCTCCTGTGCCTTTAGAATCCTGAACTTCTTTCAAATCTCACCTCATGTGACACCTCCAATTCAAGGCCTTTCTGGGTCCCTCCAGGTGCTAGGTTCTCCCCCCCCACACACACCTTATTTTGCATTCACTATTTACAAACCTATAATTTGTATTTATCTGTGTACTTGTTTCCTCCCGGTATCAGTCAACAAGCATTTATTAATTGCTTACTTTGTTCCAGGAACAAAAGACAAAAAAACCCATTCTAGGTCTTCTGGGAGCTTACATTCTATCGAGGGAAACAAAATACTGTATGAAAAGAGCTTGAGATTCCCTTGGTGTGGAGGTCACATAGGACTTGAACTCAGGTCATATTAACTGTGAGATCAACTCTCTATTTACTATATCAGATTATCTTGATACCTGCTAGCTATGTGACTCTAGGCAAGTCATTTCACCCTGTTTGTCCCAGTTTCTTCATCTGTAAAATGAGCTGGAGAAGGAAATGGCAAGCTATTCCAGTATCTTGGGGTCCTGAAGAGTTGGAAACGACTGAACAACAACAATCACTGAGTAGTCCTGGGGCTCTAAACAAAAAGAAAAGTGACTGCAAAAATAGTTTGTAAATCTAGGTTGAAAGATAGTAATCCTAGATGGGCAAGCATCTGTGAAATCGGACTAGGCACTAGCTGTAAAAGCAAGAACAGAGAAGCAGAGAAAACTCCTGAAGCCTGAATAATGCATAGGTTCATGATTGTGAAGATCACGTAAACCTACTTTAAACAATGTAGTGTGGACCAGGCTTAAAATGGGCTGGAACATTTTCTCCTCATTATTTCCATAATAAACGGTTTGAGGTGCGGCGTTTTTGTGTGTTTTCTTTTGTACACCAATTCACAGTTGGAATAGGGCCAGCATAGACCTATTCTTATGAAACCTGGCCTGGTAACTTTATTAGCCTAAGGCTGCAGGAACCTGGGTTTCTTTCTTTCTGTCAACCAGAAAGATAGCCAGCCAACAACCTGTTACCGTCATATGCCCTTCCTCACCACTGGCAAGCAGTGATTCTGCGGTTCTGACTCAAAGAATGCCACCTTCCAAATTACCAGATCTAGTCAGCCAGCTCTTACAGAAAGCAGTGACTCAAACTGCAGTGGGTCTCCGCCCTAATCCCGAGATCCCCTCCTCTCTTTTCTACTCCTTCCCTTCCCTCCGGTTCTGTTATGACCTTGAAAAAAATATGCCAGAATTTAGGTTGGCAGGAAGTTGTGATTTCAGACCTGGTATCTGATAAAGGCTTCCACATATTGTAGCTTTCTCAATAGCTAAACCACATTTCAAAGAGCCATCTCTGTCAGAATTTTCCTAAATGCCCTTTGGCGTTTTGGATGCCCACGTGTTGGTACCCTCCAGTAAGCACTCCTTTAGTTAAATTGTGCAGAGGCGCGGATGGATGTGTACAAATGCCAGTAAGATTTGCCAGGGCAAATAACATTTCTGATTGCACAAGAAATTGGATGATCCCATAGCCTTCCCAAATTTGTTAAATGATCGGCAGTTTGCAAAGTACAAATGCTAGGGGAAGGGAGGGGATTCTAAAAATGTCTTGCCTTTTCTTTCATAGAAGCAGAACTAGCTGGGAATTCAATTCTAGCAGAATTCCACCCAGCTCCTTCGAGTGGGTGTACTGGGTGGTTTCTTTTTTCGTAAGGAAGCTTCTCAGGAGGGGCGCTGGTCCATTAGGGGAAGAGGGGGTGGTTGCGGGAGAGCCTTCCCTGGCACCAGAAGCCCCTGCTTGAGTCACAAAGCCTTCGATCCTTGGGAGATGGAAGAGATCAGTTAGGTGCTTAACAGAAGCAAGCAGGTCCGAGGCTTGCTTCCGGAGACTAGATGCCAGGCAAGCGCGTGCGGGGCCGCGCGCTCCCAAACCTCAGAAGCTGGAGGCTCGGGGGCAGGAAGGGGCCAGGCTGGGGCGGAGGGGGGCGGGTTCTGGGGAGGGGGCGGGCCCAGGGGCGGGACTCGGCGCGGCGGCGCTGGTCCGCTCCAGCAGCGTTTTAATCCCCTCTAGCAAGCCGCCGAGCAGAGTGCGGTTTTCTTTACATGGCCCCGACGGGAGGAACGCAAGCTGGGGTGGCTGCCCCCCGGCGTGTGCTCTCAGTGAGCCTCGAGTCCTAGGTGTGGGCTCCTCTCCAACCTTATCTCTTGTTTCCCTCCGACCGCTTTTTCCGAGAAGATATGACCGAGTAGCTCCCCGCTCAAGGGCGGGATTTGCTTGGGATTTTCTTCATGGAAGCGATGTCCCCCCAGCAGGAGACTCTGGGGGGACAGCCAGGGCGCTCCTCTTCTCTGACTGGAGAGTCCAGGATCGTGGGTGACACGGAGAGCAAAAAGGTGAGGACCTTGACCCATAGCCTCCTTCTGCCCTGTGCACCTTCTCCGAGCCCCGAACGAAAAGCGGCCACCGAAGCCCTGTGCGTGAGCTGGGAGCCCGGGACTTTCTATCGATAAGGATGATGACCCCAGTCTTCCGAAATGAGGAGACCTCTGTCTTCTGTTCTATGCCTCTAGCTGCGCCTTGGTCCGAGCCTCTTTTCTTTTTATCATGGAATCACCTCCTTTCCTCCTTGCATCCTTTAGCAAAGATCCCCACTCCTTACTCCTCCCCCCACCCCGCTTTCACCCATATTCCAGGTCCCTTTTCTCATTTTAGCTTACAGCTCCTCTTGCGATCCCCACCTCCCTTCTCCATCCGCTGCTCGGATCAGAGTTCCAGCTCCGATCCCTATATTCAGGGGTATAAGCTCCTGAGATTGGGGTGGGGGGAGGTGTCATTTTCCTCAAGGACCCCCGTCTCCCATTTGCCTGTGAGACTCCATACTCCCTGGGGGTCATCCTTCCAAGAGCACTACTCTTTAATTGCGATCCCCTCGAAGGTTAGCCTGTCTACTAATCTGCTTCTCCGCGGCTCCCCGCCCTCCTCCCCAGCTAAACAATGCGTTTCCTCCCAAAACTGCTTGAGCTAAAGAGACTTGGCTTTGGTATTTGATCCCGTCTCCATTTCTTCACCTTGCCCGGGTTGGATGTCTTCTGCAATATGTTATTATTAGCTTCCACCACCTCTCTCCGTCCCCCATACCCCGGGTTCGGTGCAGTACTGAGCTATGTGGTGTCTCAACTGGGAAGTGGGGTCGGTGGGCTTGGGTATGTTGCTTCGAGTAACCCTGTGGCCGCACCAGCCGAGGTTTGGTGGAGGAGTCAAAGTTGTTTCTTGGTGTGCAGTTGAGTGTTTAGATGACCCCAGGGCAGAATTAGAGTCAGACCTCTTAATTGAAGGTGGCTTCCACTGCCCTTAACCTTGTCCTCTCCAGTCTTCAGCCCCTAGCCCCTCTGCTGGAAAAAAAGGTTTTAGTCTAGTGGAGACGCTTCCTCCTGCTGGTCTGGGGAGAGAGGCGCGTGAGTGCCAGGGCTGGGGGGCAATGTGAGTGTCAAGGCTGATTCTGGAGGACGGGAGGAGAAGCGTTGAGCAAGTTGTAGCTTTTCATTTCGATAAACACAGCTACGGTGCAGCCGGATCATTTCTGATCTGTCATATTCACCTGGAACCGTTCCAAAGCAAGTGCATTTTAGCCCGACCTGCTTAGCTAGACTACTAGGAGATTGATTATTGAGTTCTTAGCAGCACCTGCTTTTCAGACTTACAGAACCATCCCGTTGCTTGGGCATTCTAGTTTTAAACGTAGACGTACCAGTCCAGCTTCCTTGGGTACCAGTCAAGGTAATGATAATTTTAAGAACCATAACTTGCAGTGATAGTTAATAATAGTTCACATTTACGTAGCGTTGTAAGTGCTAGATGTGAGAAGTCATCTCCTTAAAAAAATCCTTGAAGAATTGTATGAATACCACTAGTTCCTAAGGGAATTATGCAGACAACCCCAGTCCAAATCTTTCTGCCCTTCATAAATCTTCCCGACCAGGTTCGCATAGGTTGGCGGGAGAGCTCCTTAGTAAAAGCGTGAATTATTTTTCTTTCTTGACTGGTTGCAGAGGTGATCTGTGACCCCTTCTCTAACCATTGGAATAAAAGGACTGTGATGCAAAGGCACTTGCTAAACTCTTTAAGGACTGGCTGTCTAGATTCCGAGGGACTATAAGGCTGGGATTGTGTGACTGCCGTCAAGGACTTTGGCTCACAGTCAAAGAGCATTTCATGAAGATGATGATGTATCTCCTGTAATGTTGGCTCGTCCGTGACGGTGAGGGCTTCTGTGTGCTTTTTGTTTGGGGGCGCGGGGGGGGGGAGGTGCTAATATGTGATTTGAAAGTCTTGGTCTTCCCAAAAGGAATGCCCCCAGCTTTGATGTAGGGTCAAGAACACAGGAATTGGTGGCAGAGGACCTGAGTTCAGAATCCTAGGTCTATTATCCAACTTCCTGCCCTTGGGCTAATTATTTCATCCTTCTAGACCTCAGTTTCCTCATCTTTGAAATGAGGGGGTGGGACTTCAAGGTCCAGGACTACTGCCAATGTCCATTCCAGCTCTAAATCCTATGATTATATGAAATAATAAACAACAGACTTTCATCAAGTGGGTCCTGGGAACAACTTTGCCAAATGTAGAGTTGGCTAGTCATTTGGTAATTGGGTGTCTCAGTTCAGGAAATAAGATAATGAGAAATTCTGGCGGCAGCATAGTACTGTGGAGTGAGCACTGTCTGGATGGAGAGAACCAGGATTCAAATACCACCTCTAATGCTAATTACCTGTGTGACCTTGGGAAAGGCACACCTGGCTAACTTCCCTGGCTTCCTCACCTATACAATGAGGCAGATGGACAAGATAAGCCCTCAGGTTCCTTCCAGCTGTGTCTCTACCATCCCATATTCGATTTTTTTTCCTTCTGCCATAATGGATTAATGAGTGTTAAGTGTACATGGAACAGACCATTAAAGATCTTTATAATCTGTCAAATGAAGGAAGGTCCCCCTTTACCTTCTTCCATATTCTTGCCTTTTTCCTTAAGATAACCCTACCTCCTTTACAAACTTTTAATGGGCTGCTATATCCCACAACTCCCACCTCTCTCTTTTTTTTCTAATCCTTATTTAAAAGGAAAAAGGATCATAACAAACTTGCTTGTGTTAAATTTGTTTGTGAAAGAGAACAGTTTTAATTCAAGTTGGTTGTGTCTGCATAGTTCTAGACTCTTTGACTAATAATGGAAGAATGATCATATGGATATTTGAGTGTTGAAATCTTAGCCATAGGACTGGAAGAGGGATGGTAAAGATAGGTATCATAGAATAATACTGAACTGGGATGCTGGAAGCCTGAGTCCTTTGCCTGCCACTGGCTAACTGTATTACCTTAGGTAGGTCACTAACCTCTGGACTTGAGTTTCTTCATCTCTAAAATGAAGTTTTTGAATTAGATTATTTCTGAAGTTATAAATTTCAGAGTCTAAATCAAATCATCTAGTACAGTCTTCAAAACCTCAGCATGGTCAGTAGATGTGACATTGGGCACTGTTGAGAATAGTGACGTGGGTAGATCTCGGATGAAAAGTCCAAAGTGTTTTTAGGCAGCGACTGTTGTTGGAATAGTACAGTGCCTGTCACAGTGACAGTAGTAGCACCAGAATTTGAACCCAGTTACTTTGACAACAACCTTGGCACTTCTACTCAGGGCCATAGAGCCTCACTGAGTTCTAATATGTTTGTTTACAAAAGAAAAGTTCATCTCATTATATTTTAGTTATACCTTATATAATGATAACAATAGCTAGCATTTATATAGGATGTTAAGGTTTGCAAATCACTTTACATATATGCTTCACGTGCATTACACATGTGTAATACATCATTTTAAGGCAGCTAGATGGTTTAGTGGGTAGAATGCTGGGCAGGAAGACCTGACTTGAAATCCAGTCCCAGTCACTTGCTAGTTGTGTGACCCCGAGCAAGTCACTTAACCTTTGTTTGCCTTAATCCACTAGAGAAAGAAATGGCAAGCCACTCCAGTATCTTTTCAAGAAAACACCATGTCCACGGGGTCACGAAGAGTTGTACATAACTGAACAACACAATGCATCTTATTACATGTTATCTAATTTGATCTTCACAACAACCCTGTGAATTAGATGTTATTATTATCCCCATCTTACAGATGAGAAAACTGAACTTTTCCCAGGGTTGCAAAGTTAGTGTTTGAGGAAGGTTTTGAACTCTGGTCTAACTGACTGCAAGTCCAGTATTCTATCCATTGTACCACCTAGCGGTTATATGTAATACCCAGTGACTTGCAAGGAAACATGAGATTTGGAGTCAGAAGATTTGGGTTTGAATCCCAACTCTGTCACTAGCTTTGTGCACTGGGGCTGATGACTTAGTCTATCTGGGCTTCATGGACCTAATCTTGAAAACAACATAAGAATACCTGTAACTACCTGCCTTCCTTGTAGGTTTGTTGTGAGGAAAATGCTTTGTAAGCGTTAGTTGTTGTTGAGAGTACCTAGGGAAGTCCCCAAGTCAGGACTCTGCAGTTATGCTCTGAAATTACATGGAGAAGCCAATTAAAACCAGTTCCTTCTGAGAAGGCTTTCTGTTCAACGCCAAAACAATCTGAATCCTGACCTGTCAGTGCTGATTGAAAGCTACTCATTTTTCTTTTCTTTTTTTTCTTTTTTTTTCCCAAAGGAGGTGGGGGAAGACAGCCAAGCCAAAATGATGCTAAAATAGCTCTAACATTTTGAAAACTGAATAAATCTACTAGCAGCAAAAGGAGTCTAAATGTAGCAGCTGCAATTGCACCCTTTATTTCTGATTATACTGCCCACGCTTTCCAAATCAAAATATGTCTGGAGGCATGTACTGCTGGAACTCCCCTAGATCTAGGTTTGACCTTGTGAGCCACTTTTTTTGCATGGCATGGACAATCTAGGAAGGTTAGAGGAGAATGTGTTATTCACTCATGATTCTGAGAAAGGCTATGCTTATGGCTTTGATGGAACTATACCAAAGAATGTAAATAAACCACTTAGGCTGCTGTCTCATTGCATGACTATAGACAAAATTACTTGCTTCCTCAACTGTAAAATGGAGATAATTATAGCACGTACCTCCCTGGCTGTTGTGAGGACAAATGAGATAATGTAAACATCTAGCACATAGTAGGTAATTTTGAGGACATCTTATATTTATCTTTCCTAGACTGCATAGGTGAACACACTACATTGACCATCATTCTTTACCCTGAAGTTAGTGAGCACTGTTCTATAGAAGGCTGTCTCTCACAGGGATAATGGAAGACATATTAAACAAGTTGTAGTTTTTGATTTGGATAGTTGGGTTGCAACCAGATCTGTTATTCTATTAGAAGGGCAGCTTTATCAT